ACAATAAAACTGGTGTCTAGGAGCCATCTTTGTCCTTGTACTTTTGCAACTTTGTCCAAGCATAGCGATGGCATTCCTTCAACGCCTCCACCCAGTCAACTTCCACATCCTTGCGAAATGACTTGGACATGGTCTTCTGGCCACAAGCAACTGCACTGGCCCACTTGCAAGTCCACCGATGGTCATTGCCTCAGCATCAACAAATTTGTGCAAGCTCCAAAAACATCAGTTGAAAAGCGTGAAGAATTCTAGTGAGTCTAGCAATGCTCCCTGAGCAACAAACTCAAACAAATACTGAAACACTTTCAGTCAGGCTGCAGTTCAATGAAATTGAGCACCCTGGTGGAGAGATGTCTGACAAGGATCCAGGCGTCTTGTGCACATTGGGCCCCCCTCTCACCACGCCTCCTGTCAGAAGCCTCTGATGGAGCTTGGCTGGCAGGCACCACATCTGCAACGCCAGGTTCCAGCTCAGCTGCTGAAGACGGCAAAGGCAAAGAAGGCATCACAACCACTGCAGGTGGCAAACAAGGTTCAACTGAAGGTGCTGCAGATGGCTCTTCAGCAGGCGGCAACGATGGTTCAACAACTGAAGGTGGCTCTGCAGACGCTGAAGGCAAAGACGATGCATCAGCAAGTTCAGGTCTGCTGGAAGAAGCTGCAGCAGCTGATGCAGATGGCACTGCTTCAGCAGAAAAGCTAAGCCGTCTTTTCACTTTCTGCTTGACATGCTTCTTGATCAACTTTGCCCTGGCTTTCATCTTGGCTTTTCCTTTAGCTTTGGCTTTGGCTTTGGCTTTGCGCTTGTTCTTTTCCTGGGATTGATTCATCATGTCAATGATTGAAATTGAGCACATGGTGAAACAACAACAAACACTGAAACCAGATGTTGTATAAGTAATGCAAGTTTCATCTTCTGCCTCAGCACGCCAATCCTTCCATTGCTTGATCTTCTGGTTCTTGGCTTTCTGAGTCACCTTTTGCTTCAGCTCTGCAAACTCTTGGAGGTCGTCTTGGTCCATCATCTCAAGCACAGCTTCCGCTAGCTCATCATCTGCATCACATTCATCATCGGGCACCTTCTTTTTTTTCCTCAATCCGTCTCTTGATTTCCTCCACAAAGTCATCATCACCCACCTTCGATGCCAAAGCTTGCAGAAGCTGGTCCTTGTTCAGTGAATCAACGTCCACATCAAGCTCAAGCTCACCCAAGATAGCCAACTCCCGGAATGTCAGCCTTTGCCCATGCTCACGGAGTGTGCACTTGATGACCTTCTCCCACCCATGCACTGACAAGACCAGACCAACATCACTTGCCAAAACTGGCATCAAAGACGTGGCAACATAGATTGAATGATCCAAGATGAACTTCCACCTGGGGACATTCCAAAGACCAATGAACATTATATTTTATCTTATTTCAATCGGTGTATATACAATAAAAACCATTTGCAAATGACCAACAAACTTGGAAAGGACTGCACCCAAGCAAAGCCAGGAATCAGAAGCTGTCCGTTTTCTTCAAAGACAAAGTGAAATCATCGGACTGGATCAAGGGCCAAACCAGAAGTCCCCACTTCAGGTTGGCCACAACAAGGAAGGCAGGCCCATTGCCATATGAACTTGTGGAAGAAGCCTCTGAACCAATCCGGAAGGCCATGCCAGGCTGGAATGCAACACACCTCTTGGCATCCTTACTTAGATGGTCAGCTTCAGGCTTGGCTTTAATGTAACATACAACAAAAACAGACACATACAGTGACAGGTTCAGAGAACAAAGCAACCAAGGCAAGCAACATTGACTAGAAAAGCATCCTTTCAATCATGGCATGCATCTTTGAGTTTAATGTTCTGTCCATTCATTTTCTCACTCACATAGTGTCTCAACCATGCCCAGCATGCGCTTGAACGTGACAGGCACTCCTCAGACATTGAAGGCCATTTTTTGCTACCAACGATGTCAGCAAACACCTTTGTCAACTTCTCTGAAGCAGCCAGAAACTGTTGCTTGCTATCACTTGGCTTTGTTGATGCCCATCGTGACAGCATTGCTTTCTTGTCCAAAGCAGCTGGGTGCAATATCCCACGACTCTCAAATGTCTGAGAGGTTTCCACAAGGGATTGGATCTGTCTGTGGTTGAGCTTCTCATGTGGTTGAGACTGTGCTTTGCCACGGATTGTCTGATGAATATCTTCAACAAACTTGGTGTCTGGTAGGCGGGTCACAAGGCTTGCCAGAATATCCCGTCCCTTTTCCGTGAGATCAGCTTGGTAGAGTTGATAAACCAACCTCATTGGTTTGGAGACCGTGTATCTCACATCATCCAGGATCTCTGAAGTGCTCTGACTCTTTGAGTGCTCTAGCCTCCGCAAAATATCCCAATCATTTTTCATCAACTGCACGGCAGCAACAGTCCTCACAGGATCATCAAGCACAACAGCTGCAGCATACACCTCCGGTGGAGAGTTGTGCATGCACATAGAAGACGCCCTCTTGTTGAGACAGCCAAGCACATAGAACCACAGGTCATCCAAATAGTTCTGCAACTTGCTTTGCTCCAAATGCCTCAAGGAACATTTATCATATTGAAGCACCGTTTCAAAGTCTCCCCAGTCACTGAACAAGTTGATCAAACCTGTGAATTGGGCATCTGACATCCATTGGCCATCTGCCATTTGCGCCAACCTCTCCAAGCCGTGATGTGGAGTCTTGATCTTTTTCACCGTTTTACTGTACCAAGTCCACAGGACATCATTGGCAAGTTTCATTGCCCGGACAGAGAACCAAGTATTCCAACTGCAGCATTTCAAAGCAAGTTTGAGACCACCAGCCTCCTTGCGGAGCTCTGCAAATGTAGTAGAGGTAGCGCGGGTGTCTGGACACTCATCTGGAAACAATGCTGTGAGGAGCATCCGTGACGCCCAAAACTCACCAAAGTGATCATGGGCCGAATTGCTCCAGCTGAACCACCTTCCAGACTTGACACAGCTGGATTTGTTCCTGAAGGTCTTCAGTTCTGCCAGCAATGACAAGTCCACTGACTCAACACCCATATCTAAAGCTACCAAGTCTGCAAATCTCTCAAGCAGTTCACTATCCTCACCTTCCGAGTTCAAGAACATCTCAAGGAGTTCTGTCTTCTCCTGGAAGAATGCTCCTTGGCGGAATGGTTTGTACGACAATGTCCACAGGTAGGTGGAGCACAAATGGGCCATAGACAAACGAGTCCGCACTGCCTTGGGCGCAACACTGTTTGCAGCCAGTTTCAAATCACGGTTGCACCTGTGAAATGGGTCGAAATAGAACTGAGTCATGGCTTGCTGATGAAGGAACCCACATGCAGCCATGTTGGATGGGCCCTGATCCATACCTGCAATTGGGATATTGTGATTCACTAGGTCCAGCAAGTTCACTGTTGCAGTTGTTCTCTTTGTGACCTTGTCAACAAGAAAAACCATGTGCCCCTTCACAATGTGCAAAACATTGTCCAAATGTCCAAGCGCAGGATTGTCACACAAGAAGCTGCTCATTCCTACAGCCCCATTTGTCACCAGGCTAAGCTGATGGCTTAGACCCTGAAGGAATCGATAGGCTGCCATGCGCTCTTGCTTGCGGGTGGCCAGAAGGCGTTCAACAGTTAAAGAGCATTCAATCTCTCCTGGATGTGCCATTTTTGAACTCTTCAAAACCTGGCTTGTGCAATAGACACCAATATTGTTGTGTCTCGAAAAGATTGCACTCACCAACGTCTCTCTGCAACTGTGGCGGGCAGCATCACTAATCAAGTTGTAATGATTCTCGCCTTGCAGCCCCATGGAAGCTCTCTTGAGATACATGGATTGCAGTTTGGCAAGCCAGTGCCTGCACGCTCCTGAAGTGCATCCTCCATCTTTTGAGCGCTCTTTGGTTCTCACCAGCTGTGGGAAGCTCACACCAGCAATGTTCACAGAGTCTTGGTACCATTCCCAAACTTGATTTGGGTCTGCTCTCACAGACTTGTGCTCTCTTGCCCTGCCAGGGGCTGTGGGTTGCACATCATCATTTGCACCATCCCAAGGCACAATGCTATCAGGCGCCAACTCCAACTCTGACTCTCTCTTTCTCTTCTTGCGACTTGGAATTGACCTGTTTGATATGTCTGGGCCCACAGACTGGATGAGATCTCGAACTGTCTTTTGCAAACTTGCAGACAGCAATGAAATGATTGAGTCCCGCAAGTCTTTCCACAGAGTGTGTATCCTTGCCTTCATGACATGCATCTTCCGTTCACGTCTGAATCTCTTCACACATGCCAAAAACAAAGTAAGGTCCAAAAGTGAAGCTGCATCAAAGTCCGAACCAAACATCCCTTCTTCCTGCGCCAAAGAGTGACTTAGCAAAATTACAGGCTGTGAAGCGTGTTGAATCATTGACTAACTATCATTATCATTCATTACCATCTATTCTTAGCTTCACACAACAACTGAGTCAACATGTCCTTCATCTTGTCCCACATTTGCTTGAAGGATCCAACAAACGCTTGATGGGCAAAGGTCGACAAAACATGCTGCAAGTTACGTGTTCCTGCTGCATCAAAGGAGAGTTGCTGTCCATTGCGGAGGTATGAATGCCCACCACCACTAGCATTCAAGATGCCCACAGCCAGAAGAGCCAATTTCTTGAGATATGCCTTGCCAAAGTCCAACCGGGTAACTGAGCGTGCGGTGTCCGTCATTGCAACAAGAAAGTACACAAGCGCTTTCGAAGTGCAAGCTGTAGCATCCAATGCATCTCGCCTGAAGTCACCAGCTGGGCATTGAACTTAAATAAAAATTCATTTAGGAGGTTCTAGACTAACATTATCATTTTCCTTTGCTGGACTAAGGCAAACTGAGACATCAGTCAAGTCCAACAGGCCTTGTTGCTTGCTGCTCCTGTGGACTGGGCTTGATGTAGATGGCCTGACCCAAAAACTCATGCTCTTCCTGGAGAAGAATTCTGAGCTTAGCCACAAACTTCCCCATTGGCTCTCCCATCTCACCTTCTAGCAGCAACTTGTCATGCAGGTACCCAACGTTCCACCAGAACTCTGAGTCATGCTCATAGCACACAGGTGTTGGCAACCATTGGGATAGCTCCTCCACATAGTACACTGGAGTGTTTGCTGCCAGGTCCACAGGCTGCTCACGCAGGTCATCCATTAGTGCGGGGCAAAATAGTGGTCTTTCACAACACAACACAACTCATGTCATGCTTCAACCTCAATGGGAATCATGTGCTATTGTGGACACTTGTGCTCTTGAATCAATTGACACTCCATGAATCAATGACAAGACAAACCATTAAACCATTGACAATAATTGAACCTGAC